CAACGTGTTTTGGACATCATCCGATTATACCAGCCGCACATTCAAGACAACAGCATCTGGCATTCCGAATCGGTCACCCATCTAGGTACTGACCAGGCTCAACGTTGCTTAACTTCGCTGATCGTAAGGTATTTTAAAGTGATGTGTCTATAAGACCATTATAGCAACTTCACGTCGAATGCAGCCGCTTTTGATATTCCAATGCTGTCACCCATCTAGGTACTGACCAGGACGGACGTGGCTTAACTTCACTGATCCTACTGTACTTCAACGTGATTTGGCCGTAAGCCCATTATACCACCCACACATCCAAGGCAACGGCATGTGGTATTCCCATGCCGTCACCCATCTACTTCCTGACCAAGCTCGACTTGGCTTAACTTCACAGATCGTACGGTTTTTCAATGTTATGTGGCTGTAAGACCATTATATCACCCGCACATTCAAGTCAACCGCTTTTGGTATTCCCAAGAAGTCACCCATGTAGGTTGTAACCAGGCGCGACGTTGCTTAACTTCGCTTATCGTACGGTCTTTCAAAGTGATGTGACCGTAAGCTCATTTATACCAGCAGCACACCTAAGTATCTGGGATTCCCAGGCCGTTATCCTTCGAGGCTCGACGTTGCTTAAATGAAATGGTTGTATCGGAACCGCTGTTCCTACGTGCTATGGCCGTAAGCTTGCTAATGATGATGATGACGATGGTGATATTTCCTTTTCGATTCGAAGGTTGGCCCCGAAGTTGGTGTGTGGGGGGTAGCGAAAGGCAAATGAAAGGTGATAGGTAAAAAGGAATTAATATTTTCTACTTGGACAAATGGAATTAGCACGGAAAAAAGCTTGACAAATTCAACGTTTCGAGTTTCTCTTCTTTCCTTTTGTTATTGATAGGTTTCTTTTTTTTATTTATTAAATTTTCTGCTTTTCTTTTTTTTTCCTTTTCGATTTCTTATCATTACAACATGTAACTTCCACTGAGTCACTGCTATAGATCGATAACCAAAGCCGAAATACCTTTTCCCATTCTTTGCGCAGAAGATAAACAAATATAAACTCAAATAATATAAGCGAATAAGTAAAGATATTCCTCAAACGGCGGAATTGATAAGAAATGAATATAAAAATGAATTATCTGAAAAAGAGAAGAAATAGTTTAGATTTAACTAAATAACAATAAAAAGAGAATATAATATCCTCAATAAAAGAAACGAATCAATCTGATAAATGAATATATATATATATATATATATATATATATATATATATAAATTACGCAACAAAATCCAAAATTACCTCATATGGGGGTTAGATCTATTTTAAGCAACGAGAAGTACTTTAATCTTATTCAACCCCTGTGTATAGACTGTGTTCGTGTCGAAATTAGAAAATCTAATCGTGAAATACAAACCTGAATTTACTTTATAACATGGAAGACTTCAAGCTTGTATGAAAATATAAGAACCTATTGATGCGTATTCCTATATCATCGGAAGGGAATTCTTGGCGAATTGTTTATATGAGAAAATAGTTCAATCTTCGAATACGTTTTCACAACATCGCCCACGTGACGACGACGTAATCATATTTTAAACGGAACGCTGATCTTATATAAAAAAATTCAGTTATCTGTTTGGATTAGTTGTGCTCTTATGTCCATCGTCTTTTTCATGTTGAATTTTATATGTTCTAATGTTAATTATGTTTGATGAATATGTTCTGATGATGGTCTAAAATAGACCGAAACGTCCGACGTTGACTTTATATTAACATTAATACAGCATAATTGCATATTAAGATTTTTGTTTGTTTTTTCTGTATATTTTTCTTCATATAAATTATATATAAAAAAAGTTACGTTCCTACTTTAAAAAAAAAACACACTTTAAAATGAGATATATTAAAAAGATTAACAATAAATCATATAAATTATATTATATTGCGGCTCCTTGGTTTCACGTTATCCACTGATCTAAGGTGGAACAACTATATTGAATCAATAGCTACATCTACTGCAAGGAAAGTTGATTCTCTGTGTCACGCCAGAAGGTTTTTCTCGTCCGAGTCCATCCTTCACATCTACAAATCTACCATTCGTTCTTGGATTGAATATTGTTGCCATATATGGTATGCATTCCCCCTATTCATCTCGAGGTCCTCGACGAGATCCAAAGACGGATATGCAATGTGATAGGTCCTGATCTGACATCTCGTCTACAGTCACTTTCTCACAGACGGGATGAGACTTCCCTGTGTCCTTTCTACAAATATTTTCATAACAACTGCTCGGACGAGTTACTTTCACTGGTACCCCAAGTGTATGAATTTAAGCGTGCTACTAGGTTGGTATCTCGGTCCCACCCTTTCACTGTCGAAACAGTTAAATGTAACCGCCTGTTCTACTCCAACAGCTTCTTCTCTCGCACTTCCCGACAGTGGAACTACGTCCCTCCTACTTGCTTCCCTGATAGCTATAATCTTCAAATATTCAAATGTAATGTCAATCGACATCAGCTGATGCCTTCATCTTGATCCCTGTACGTCTCTTTATCCTTTCCTCAAACACCCTTTTTTATTGTTGTTCCCACTCTCTGTAACCCCTTGCGTGCTAGTGGCACTCCCGCCTTGCTTGGCGGGAAATGCTTAAAAAAAATAATATTTAAGCGAATGATATGTTTTTATTTATTTATTAAACTATACATTTATTTATTTACATCTATCGGACTTAATACAAGAGGAAAGAAAAATATGCGCCCTTCGACAGGATTCGAACCTGCGTATCCCCTATTTGATTTAAGGTAGTTTTCCCGATTCTCAAAATATACGTATCTGTATATTACCTTAAAATGTACTTGTTTAGTTATAATATTTCCTATGCGCAACATGTAACAAGATGGTATCTTTAAATAAAAAAGTATCTTCTCCTTCTTCTTCTACCTCTTCCTCTTTTTCTTTTCCTCTTTTTCTTCTTCCTCTTCTTCTTCTTCGCCGTCTTTTTCTTCTTTTTCATCCTTTTCTTCTTCTTCATCGTCCTTTTAATCTTCTTCTTATTCTTATTTTTCTTCTTCCTTTTCTTCTTCTTCATCGTCCTTTTCTTCTTCTTCTTCCTCTTTTTTTTCTTTCTCTTCTTCTTCTTCACCACCCTTTTCTTCTACGTCTTCCTCTTTTATTTCTTCTTCTTCTTCTTCTTCGTACTTTTCTTCTTCTTCAAATTTTTCTTCTTCTTCAAATTCTTCTTCTTTTACCTCTTCCTCTTTTCTTCTTCTTCATCGTCCTTTTTTATCTTTTTTTTCTTCTTCTTCTTCTTCTTCTTTTTCTTCGTTCTTTTCTTCTTCTTCTAATTCTTCTTCATCGTCCTTTTCTTCTTCTTCAAATTCTTCTTCTTCTACCTCTTCCTCTTTTTCTTCTTCTTAAAATTCTTCTTCTTCATCGTCCTTTTCTTCTTCTTTAAATTCTTCTTCTTCGTCCTTTTCTTCTTCGTCATTTTCTTCTTCTTCATCGTCCTTTTCTTCTTCTTTTTCTTCTCCTTCTTCTTCGTTCTTTTTTCTTCTTCTTCTAATTCTTCTTCATCGTCCTTTTCTTCTTCTTCTTCGTCCTTTTCTTTTTCTTCAAATTCTTCTTCTTCATCGTCCTTTTCTTCTTCTTCATCGTCATTTTCTTCTTCTTCATCGTCCTTTTCTTGTTCTTTTTTTCTCCTTCTTCTTCGTTCTTTTCTTCTTCTTCTAATTCTTCTTCATCGTCCTTTTCTTCTTCTTCTTCTTCTTCGTCCTTTTCTTCTTCTTCAAATTCTTCTTCTTCAAATTCTTCTTCTTCTACCTCTTTTTTCTTCTTCTTCAAATTCTTCTTCTTCGTCCTTTTCTTCTTCTTCTTCTTCATCGTCCTTTTCTTCTTCTTCAAATTCTTCTTCTTCATCGTCCTTTTCTTCTTCTTTTTCTTCTCCTTCTTCTTCGTTCTTTTCTTCTTCTTCTACTAATTCTTCTTCATCGTCCTTTTCTTCTTCTTCAAATTCTTCAAATTCTTCTTCTTCTTCGTCCTTTTCTTCTTCAAATTCTTCTTCTTCTACCTCTTCCTCTTTTTCTTCTTCTTCAAATTCTTCTTCTCCATAGTCCTTTTCTTCTTCTTCTGTCATGTGACCTGTCCCTTCAGAACGTGGGCAATTATGGCTCTCTACAATTTCTTGTCAATTATGTCTCTTATTACATTTTGTCTTTATGCTATCTCTCCTAATCCCTGTTCTGCCAACTATTTCAACAAGCTCCTTAAGAAATCTATCCTTTTGCCTAAAATTTATCTTATCAGAGTCAAATTTCCTAAGCCATCTTGCTGGATTATGTGCCTTAGAAATGTTAACTCTCTCTTTTTGACGTATAAGTTTCATTTTTGTCTCCATTTTCTCTAAAACTTCGTCGTTGCTCACGTGTTCAATCTATGGGATTCTCAGCATCCTCCTGTAGAACCACATTTTTGTTGCCTCAAGTCTCTCCTTCATTTGTGAAGACATTGCCCAGCATTCACTGCTAATCTTCGAAAATGAGCAATACAACCATTTTTTTTTTTAAGTTTACTATTGAGTAAAGACAAACAAAAAAGTAGCTTATACATGGACTAAGCCTCGTCTTCTTTTATGGCTGTGAGTGGATATGGCTCTCGACAACTTCCTTTCTTTGTAGATGTTAGGTTTGTTTTTTCATTGTCTGTCGTATTTCTTCTGTATCAATAAACACAAGCTGGTTAGAGAAGTTATAATTTGCATTCCTATGTGCCACTTGCTGTAAATATGTCCCACCTTAAATTTTCTAATCCCTTTTTCTTGATTATATGTCCTAGACATTTTATTTCTCTTTCTGGTGTATAAGTGGCCATTTTGTTTCTAGTTTTTCAGTCCATGGGAATCGCGACATCATTCTGTAGAAGCACTTTTCTATTGTCTCTGATTGTTCAGAATTTCTTTGCAAATCTTCAAAAATTAATCATTGCTACAAGTTTGGCAACAGATCTGCACATGCGCAACTTTTTTTTTCTTTTTGATAAGTTCCAATTCAGTTTATTCTTCTTCATTAAGGACACTGGTGTGTCCAAATATTCCAGTTTAACACACTTTTCTCTTTACACTTTAATTTTGTTCACTGGATTTATAATATGAAGATTATAAATATAATTATTTATAATCTTTATTTTGTGTATATATATATATATATATATATATATATATAATTTTAGTGAGTGAGAGAAAGAGAGAGATGTTGGTAAGCGCGCCAGGCACAAACATAAAAACTATTTAAATAATGAAAAAGTTACAGTTTTTTGTGTATATATACATGTAACTAGTGAGTTAGTCAAAATTACTTAACTCCCTTTATAGTCTACCAATAGATGGTTAACCAATCAGAAGCCGCAGAACATTGTATCCGTCGTGTATAAAGGCGGCCATTTTTGTTTACCCTACCCGAATGACCAGTGCCAACTTGTCCGGCCAAGATGACAGAAGGAAGAACTACGCTTTTCTACTTTGCTCCGAAATATTCACTGCTAACCTCTGGATTCTATATTCGAAACGACCGTCAAAATATCTAACAGTAAAATTAGTGTCAAAGAATGAAACTTCTTGGAATTAGTGTCAAAGACTTGGGAAAAAATGCAGCGGATTAATGTGGTTGGAGAAAGTTAGTTTCTGATAGTTGCAATCAATTGGTGATAAAAAGAATTAACCATTTAAAGTTTAAAGCTGATTTAGTTTCGATCCCAGAAGATATTCTTAAAGCATTCCACCCCAGACAAGGCGGGAGTGCCACTATGACACAGTGGGTTACAGAGAGTGAAATTGAGGGAAAAGATTGTGTATAGAGGGGTTTAAAGAAAAGATAAATGAAGGCAACAGAAGATGACGATTGACGTTGCATTTAAAGTTTTGAAAATTATAGTCATCAGGGAAGTAAGAGGAAGTGAGTTTCACTGTCGGGAAGCGCGAGAAAAGAATCTGCTAGGGTAAAAGTGGTGGTTACATTTAACTATTTCAATATTAAAAGAGTGGGACCTAGATTCCAATCCAGTAGTACGCTAAGATTCATGGAGTCAGGTCAACAGGGAAAAAAAGCTCATCAGAGCAGTTGCCATGAAAATATTTGTAGAAAAGTGGGAAGCCATATCGCATCTATGGGGGAATGACTGAAGTCGAGATGAAAGTCAGGACGATTACCGTCTTACTGTTATTCTATCTCGTGCCGGATTTCCTGGTCATCGATTATCACATGACAATCGATAGACTAATGCGGACGATGTGAATGTCTCTTCTGACAGACCTGCAAGGTATTTATGATATTTTTGTGATATAATTTGCAGGACTGACGCCGAGCTAAAGCAGCACATGAATACCTGAAGAGTAAGTCATTTTCGTGTGACACATATAAAAAAATATTATATATATATATATATATATATATATATATATATATATATATATATATAAAGTATTATCATATATATATATATAAAATATTATCATATATATATATATATATAAATATTATCATATATATATATATATATATAACACTTTCAAAGTAGAGCAAAATAACAGCGTCTGTTTCTAGCTTTTTTTACAAAGAAAATTAATGACGTCTTCTCTTCTCTCTTAACTTCCTTCTCTCTTTTTCTCTCTATAGTTTTTTCTTCTCTACCCCTTCGATATTAATATATAACTTCTGTTTAGTTAATCGTTTAAATGTGTCAATATCTGCTAACTCACTCATGTCTTCTCTCTCCCCACCTCACTTCGTTAATTTACATATGCTTAATACGGCCCGTCAAAAATGTGTAAATTTCTTTTCATTTTTCGTTTCAACCTTTGGAAGTAAAGTCTGATGATCTGCAGTCCTTTAAAAGGGCTGGGGTGAAATAATTTATTACATGGAACCTTAAGGTGGTCTTTTTTTATTTATATATATATATATATATATATATATGTGTGTGTGTGTGTGTGTGTGTGTGTGTGTGTGTGAAAAGTGTGTATATATATATATATATATATATATATATATATATATATATATATATATATATATATATAATTATTTATATATATATGCGCGGTACTTATTAGAAAGCGCTCAATATCAGAGATAGAGCTAACATATTTGGTTGGATAAATGTTTGTGACCCTGGCTTTCACGCTTTTGCGATCGTCAGACAAACTGATTAATTTTTTTTTAAATTTGGGTTCATGTATATTGCGTGTATTGGTGTTATTATGGAAGTGGGGGAATCGTCGTCGTGATGTCACTCATGCTAACGCAAACATAGATGCATGACCGTACACCCGATGAGGTACGCACATATATATATATATATATATATATATATATATATATATATATATAAGGAGAGAGAGGGGGGAGAAAGAAGATCAAACTGTAACCCAATAAAAGTTTATATGTACGCAAATATAAACAACTAATATATTCCTATACCTGGGCTATGTCAATATTTATAGAATCAAATATGAACAACTAATATTTACCTATTCCCGAACCAAGTAAATGTTTATCAGTTCAATAGATAATGACTAAATTTTACCTATACCTGAAGTAAATATTTAGACTTAAAATAAACAAACAATATTTACTTGTCCCTGATCCAAGTAAATGCTTACAGATACGAATATAAACGATCAATATTTTTCTATACCCGAACCAAATAAACACCTATATCCAAACACAAATATTTATCTATAAAATCAGCTACTATTAACCAATATTTACATATGTAATATATAAAGAAATGTTTGACATCAAATATCCCAAATAGGGCTGATTAGTCTTAAAATATACCAACGTTACCTAACGCCATCCTGCTGATGAACTAATCAACACAACACTACATGTATTTTATCCATCTATGTAAATAAATAAACAGCAAATTCTGCCTGTCTATTTATCTGTAACTAGACGGGTTTCACTTGCTTTACATAGACATATACTTTTATAGAATTGGGATGATCGCATGATTGAAAATCTGGCCTTCATCTGGTGCTTGAACATCCAGCATTGGGATTTGTCTACGGATAGAACAGTTAAACGTACAAATTTTGGAATAACTGAAAAAATAATGCTTTTAAAAATTTTAATTTATGTTGAGTTTAAAGTAGCAGAAAAACTATGTTAATTTAAAAAGTTTCGTTTTAAATTCAGTTTAAAACATCTCCAAAACATTGTGAATTGAGGAAATAAATTTTATTTCTTCAAAATACAAGGGAATCAGAGTTAGAATTTCTTGATGTGAGGTTTTGAAATTCTGCAGAGTTTGTGATTTGAAGAAAATTATGATCTACAGAATTACAGATTAGAGACAACAAAAATATGCAAGTACAACAATTTAAATAGCTAGGAAGTGTTTTAACAGGAGACAGAAAATGCAGAACCGAAATCTGAAGGCGCATTTGAATAACGAAAGATGCCTTCTAAAAGCTAAGCAAAGTATTAAGAAATACGAACATTTCGTTAGAAACAAAGAAAATATTATTGAACATGTGAGAAACGACGAAGTTTTAGAGAAAAGAGAATTTAACAGAAACATATTCATAGCACCAGGAAAATGTAGTTGCACATGTTAGTGCAGATAATGAGAAAAAGAGGCTTCGAAACGTTGACACGAACAGGACACATTGAAGGCATGACGAACAGAGGAAAGCAGCGCATTTCCTACCTAATGACCTTGTGTAAATCGATGGCAAAACAATTATTAGGAGGAGTGGTAGTACCTGTTAGGACTTCGGCTATGGGCAAATAGTCAACTCCCAAGCTGGGGTCAAAACACTATGAAAGTATAAAAATAGATTTTTATAGGAAAAAAAAACAGCAACACATTTTTGAAAAAAATAAATAAATACCAGCCAGCAATACATTTGACTATCGACAAAAAGAAAAACCTCTTTACAAAAAATTAACCAATGAAACCTGATCTACAAACTGATTTTCTATAAAGAATATATATTATACTCATGCGAACCTATCCTAATGACCTGGGATCATAACACTATCAAAGTGTAAAAATAGAATTTTATAGCAAAAATACCAGAAATAGATTTTTGAAACCCAGCAATACATTTTTGAAACCCAGCAATACATTTTTGAAAAAAAATTCCATGCAATACATTTTACCCGATCTAAAAACCAATTTCTTTTACACAGAATACATATTCCATTCATACGAACTTATCCTAATATCTTTTTGGCATTAAATAACCCATTGAGGTGTTGATATACCGTAAAAAAAAATAAACCAGAATAAACCAATCAATAAAATCCGTCGAATCGTTTACATACCTGGGAAGCGAAATAAATTCTACAGAAAAGGATGTAAAAATTCGCATAGCTAAAGCCTAGGCCGCCATGAATAAAATGGATGTAATCTGGAGATCTAATCTACCAGATAACCTCAAGCAGAGATTCTTTTGAGTCTCTGTGGAAGTGGTATTAATGGATAATACCACAGCCTGGACATTACCTAAAACCCTACAGTCTGAACTTGACGGCACCTACACTCGGATGTTGAGAGCTATATTTAACAAAAAATACGGCAATGAAACCTGATCTACAAACTGATTTCTTACAAAGTATACATATTCTATTCGTAAGAACTTATACTAAAAATCTTGCTGGCATTACATAAACCACTGAGGTTGATATGCCGTAAAACATAATAAATCAATCCAATTATTACGAGAGATAGCAAAAATACAAACTTTACTAATAACTACAATTGGGGAGAACAATGGTTGTCCACGTCTTGAAAGAACACGGCACAGAGAAAAAAAAAAAAGAAATGAACGAAAGCAAATTTATCTGGGAATTGTTACACCGAAATCAGAGCGGACATTGGAATGGGAGAAGCTGCCGACTGAAAGCTAAGTAAACTAGTCAGAAACGGGAACATGTCGTAAGAAAAGGCGTCAAATGCTATGCATTATCAATCATCGTATATGATACTGAATGAGGGAGAATTTCTTTACAAAAAAGCCAACTGAGATATCTTTCTAAAGAAATACGCTGAGAATAACACGGACGGAAAACACTTCAGGAAAATAGAAACCAAGAAGGTATTTATACTTTGAAAGAGATTGTTGCAATATCTGGGACACAGGAAAGACAGTTAGGAGAATCTAACACTCGAAGGGCATAGAGATGGCATAGAAAGAGAGGAGTCAGCGAGTTACATATGTGATGAGCTTGTATGAATGGATGGCGAAACTGAGAGTTGGATAGTAAAAAGAATGATAGATACAAGAGATAGGAAGTTGTGGAGAGATATCATCACCAACGTCCTGAAGAGATGCGACACACAAAAGAAAAAAGAATCATACTAAAGCAAACCCACTACCGTTTTCCCTACCGAGCAAACGTGGTATAAATAAAACAAAAGAATTCCTAGATAAATACATACAAATCACTTCTGTGACATTTTATTTTGTGTTTTTCTAATCGGAAAGTTGGAATTTATACAAAATATATTTCATTGTTATTGGGGTTTTTTTTTCTCGTTCCTGCCTCTGCCAATCCATTTTATATTTTCATCGGGAAAGAAAAGGGGAAAAGGCAATAATTTTCTAAAAAGATGAAATATAAAACCTAAAGAAAAAAAATCTCATTTTCTGTTTTCTCCTTTTTACTTTATTTTATTTTAAGCGTTTGCTTTCACCGTCCTTGCCTCGCCCAAAATTACCGAATACGTTTGCGCACCTTAATTTTTATTTTCTTATCAGAAACAAATAAGAGATCTACCTGAACTGAATTCGTGGGTGGATGGGCTTCCATGCCAAAACCCATTGATTCTTATAAAAGAATATTTCAAAGTTTAAAAAACAACAAGCAGAATTTTATTGGCGTTGAGCTAAATCATCTCTCGAATTTGCTTATTATAGGAGAACAACTCCCCCAACAAAAAAAAAAAAAAACAAACAAACAAACGTAAGTGGATATAACATCATCATTATAATCATCATGGCCATTATTATTATTATTATTATTATTTGCCTTTGCTTTGTGTAGTACCAGTTACCTCCAACTCTCAATCAGAGACTTCAAGAGACAGCAAGGTTCCGAGGTGCCATTCAATCATAGAGAAGAAATTTGTAACTGTAGTCATTGCATAAAAAGAAATGCACGCGAGAATAGTATGATGGACCCAACCAGGAATTTGATCCAGATATTTAAATGCTCCTTTTTGTTGAGATTTTTAGTGTACTAGTGAGCCAGCCAAAATGAGCTGACTCATTTTCTAGTTCACCAATAGAAGGGTTAACCAATCAGAAGGCTCAAAATATTCAATGCGACGTGTATAAAGGCGGCCATGTTTTTTCCCGAATATTCACTGCCAGCCTTTGATATCGAAGACTGAAGAATTACGGAACAGCTGCTGCTGGTGGTATTGGCGATATAGTCAGATTCAGTAGAGTGTCTGACTCGTGAGTATTAATCTTTAACGTTGTTTCATTGAACAAATAACGTACTGCGCTGTATTCTATATTCATAGACTATGGTGAACATGGTCAACACTTTTGATATAATTCCCAAAGCCCCAATAACAACAGGTAATGTCGTTGTATTACGGTGACGCATTCTACTGATTTCTGTCAGGCCGTTACTTTCTCAGACGTTTTGAAAGAGATATTTGTGTTGGGTGGAGTTGCAACATCAGAAGACATGTATTTTCAACATGATTTTTCACAATTACGTCTGGTCAATTCGCTTGGATTTCCCTATCAATCTGAAACCTGAATTACAAAGGATTATAGCCCCATTATTCTGTACTAGTTGTAGTAGCTTATATTGCGAGGGAGGTTGAATGCGCAACATATTGACCAATGTATGTACTGAGAAGTCCTCCTCTTTTCGTGCTACACAGTCACAACCAGATATTATGTGACCAACTGTCTCTTAATGCCCTTAAAATACGTGAGAATATGGGTTGCTGCTAAGCTGATGGTTGTATTAATATGAAAGTTACAAAACATAAGAATTCGAGCCTGCTACCCTGGATTAACTACTAATCATACTCTCTCTCTCTCTCTCTCTCTCCCTCGCTTTCTCTCTCTCCCTCTCTCTTTCACACACACAAACTGTAATTAAGTGTAATTGTAGTGTAAATCACAGGTTGTCGCTGTGGATATTTAAGAAGCACAACGATGTACTACATCCGACATCAAAGCCTCTAATCAGGCGATTTCAAGTTTGAGGAGCGTGTGTTAAATTATAGTTTGACAGACTATTATTTTCTAATAAAGTTTCTGCTCTACCTTTCTCAGTTTGACCTTACAGACCAGACAAAATAAAGGAAGTCGATTTCGATTGGCTGAACTAGCGTGGGAACTTAGAGGCCAGATACAAGACAAAATAAAGGAAGTCGATTTCGATTGGCTGAACTAGCGTTGGAACTTAGAGGCCGGATACAAGTCAAAATAAAGGAAGTCGATTTTGATTGGCTGAAGTAGCGTGGGAATGATAGATACAGAAAGTTTTTTTTCCGGTAGTCTTTCCAAACCGTCAAGCAATGTAGACATGTTTCCTTTTCGTGTCTGGAAGCGGCTTCCCAGTGGGGGTGGGAGAGTGACCCCACTGGCTAGTTAGAAATGGACGTGTTTAATAAAATAGTTAAATTAAAATTCGCTTTGTTGATTTCTTTTTATCTTCGAACCAAACCAACCAGCGGATCACCGGCTGTGAAAGAATAAAGTAACGTTATTATTATGGAATCAAATCCATCGCCTAAGAAAACACAAGAGTGAAGATATACAACTCGTGGAATCACCTCTTAGTTATTGTTGTTCCCAAATCTACCCAGATCTGGGGTGGCAGCCCCTGTTAGGGTCCCAGCTATGGGCAAATAATGAACCTCAAACAAAACACTATGAAAGTATAAAAATACATTTTTACAGTAAAAAAAAAACTAGCAATACATTTTTTATATCAAAACATCACCAACAATACACATTTATCGTGAGATGATCAACAGTACATGTATTTAATAAAATGGCCGACAATACATTTTATAGTAGAATGACCAACAATAGATTTTATAGCAGAGTGAACAGCAATATATATTTTGGCGGGATAATCAACAAATCATTTAGCTGCAGCATGACTAACAATATATTTTGTCGCCGGCGGTGCATTTTGCAGATAAATGACCAACAATATATTTTATCTGTAGTTGAAGGCATAAAATTGAGTTGAAGCCATAACATTGTGCTCAAAATATTTAGATTTCGGCATTAAAGCAGCTGATATGCCACTAAAAAAAAACTACCAAACAATTGAAGAATTACTTATGTGCCGGGCTGGCGTCTGCAACAAGGATTAACTAGCCACACTAGCAGACAAGTATACTTGTAGAACGAGCAGCCATTTATTATTATTCAGGTGAAAACGTCACATATCGTAAATTCTTGAGATCGAAAAACTGCTTATAATTGGTCATGTAAAAAACTCAGAATTGTCATCCTGCTTTCTTTCTTTCTTTTTTTTTGTTAATTTCGATTGATTTTTTTTTTTTTTTGATTTTTATTTTATACGAAGCAATGTATAACAAAAATGGCGGTCTTTTTGTTTCATTGAGTGAATTTTAGTTTTGTAATCAGGCAGAAAATCTGAATTGCTTTTGACATTTACTTTTGACCCAGGCGTTCAAGGATCAGAAAACGTTTATTTGATTGTTTCTTTATTTATTTTATTGCTTCCCATTTATTTATGAAAATTACCTATGTTTTTACATTTTATGTCTTTATATTTTACATGTTTTTAGATTTCCTTTTTATTGATTGGTTGCCCATGATTTCTTTAGTGCTTTTCCTTTTCTCGGAATTTTTTTTTTTTTTAAAGAAAAAAACAAACAAATTAAACATGCATTTGTGTTTTATTAACGCTATATAGTCTTCTATATCTTCTTTTATTCGGCTTCTCTTTTAATTTAGATTCTCTATTTTCTCATTTTTTCTATCTATTTTTTTCCTTTTTAACGTTCTTTTTTTCTTTTTGCTCTTTTCCCTTTAGTTACTCCACTTTTTCTTTTTCTTACTTTCTATTTTCTCTTTATTTTCTGCCTTTTTCTTTCTATTTTTGTTCTTTTTCTATTTATTTTCTTTCTTTTTAACTTTCTTTTCTTTCTTTTTAACTTTCTTTTCTTTCTTCTTATCTATCTTTTTTCTTCATTTTTTTCGCTTTTATATTTCTCTTTCCATCATACTTATGGAACATTTTTCCATTTTTTTCCATCATCTTTAGTGACCATTTTAAAGCAAATATAGTGGCCATTTTTCGAGCATAATTGACGCCCATTTTGACATGATCTTTAGGGACTATTTTGCAGCCATTTTTCCATCATCTGTAGTGACCATTTACCTGAATGATTGGTGACCATTTCCAATCATCTGTAGCGACCATTTTGCAGCATCTTTAGCAACCATTTTTTTATCATCTTTAATGACCATTTTGTAGCAAATTTATTGACAATTTTTCCAGTGTCCTTAGTGACCATTTTCTAATCATATTTAGGGACCATTTTGCAGCATTTTTAACGACCATTTTCCCCACTGTCCTTAGCGACCATTGTCCAATCATTTTTTGTGATAATTTTTCAGAATGTTTAATGACCATTTTCCCATTATCCGTAATGACATTTTAGTGGCATGTCTCGCGACCTTTTCCCAACATCATTTGCGGCAATTTCATATTAAATTTAGAGATTATTTATCCAGCATTCTTAGCGAGCATTTTCAATCATGACTACTAGGCAATCTTCAGCATCTTTAGTGGCCATGTTTCCAGCATCCTTAAGGACTATTTTTCTATCATCTTTAGTGAAGATTTTGCAGCTTTTTGAGCAACAATGTTTCATGTATCCTTAGCGCACATATTCCAATCATCATTAACAACCATTTTGCGGCATCTTTAGGTTCAGTCACCCATCATCTGTAATGACTATTTTGTTATATACTGTATCTATGAACACTAATGGCTATGTCTCAATCCTTATAAATACGTTGGACACTATTGTAAGTGGGGCTAATATGGTGGGGATTATTGTATTTTGTTGATCTTATAAAGATTACCATTTTATTTCAAACCTCCGTTTTGATTATTCCTGATTCAGTAACCCTTTCTAGGTTACAACACGTTTTGTAGCAGGTTTCGGTACATTTTCCAAGCATCCTTAGCGACTATATTTCCTTCATCTTTAGTGACAATTTTGCAGCATATTTAACGGCCATTTTCCAATCAATTCCAGTGATCATTTAGTAGCAGGTTTTGCACCCTTTATCTACATTGTCCCATCACCTTTTGTGAACATAACGACCATTTTCACATCATTTAATGACCATTTTTTCAGTATCCTCAACAACCTTCCCATCATCTTTGGCCAGCATATTTAGCGACATTTTTTCCTCGTCGTTACTGAACATTTTTTTCAAAATCTTTGTCGAACATTTTCCCAGCATCCTTAGCGTCCATTTCCGCATCACCTTTAGAGACAATTCTGTAGCGTCTTTAGCAATGGATCGTATAAACGACTTCTATTTGAGCTCTGAGTTGAGACGCAATAGGTGCTCAAGGAACAAGCCGTCCCTGATAATGACATTTGCTCTGTAATAATAACGGTCGATAATGATGATAAGGACGATGGTGTAGCAAATATAATGCCGGTGATGTATCCGGAGGCATGCTTTTTCAAGGACGCTGCTTGTAGCTAGCAAACATGATCAATATGACAACGCAGAAAATGAAATGACAGTGGCATTTTCGAAAATGATAACGGCTTTAAGATGGACGGCCACACGAATCGATGATGCTCATATGCCCTATTGCAAGAACATCACATAAAACATTGTAAGGAAGATGTAAATATTACAATGAGATCTAAATAAAAAAAAAAAAAGAACCTCTTTCCGTTTTAGCTTTTCATCAACTGACATTTCACTACTAAACTTGAAGAGATAAAAATAAAACCGACAAATCGGACAGACGTGCAATCCGATTTTGTCGAGTCCTTGATGTCCATCATGAAAGACGCCTCAACAAAAATGGCGGCTTTTAAATGATATTCGATCCGAACTAAAGAAAAATAAGATCTGGACATTCACCATAGTTCACTTGGAAATTATGTGTCAATAAAAGTTTTTATCACTTGATTTGTCGAGCGCATGATTATATTTCATTTCCTATCATGTCTTTTCTCTCAAAAAATTTAACATCCAAAAATATATATATATATATATATATATATATATATATATATATATATATATATATATTAAAATTAACTAATTTAAAATGTATTCTCTGCTACATAGAATTAATATAAATAAAAAGATGTAGCTAAAATCTTCAAATTTAATAAATGATTAAATTAAAATTTGAAGTTTTTAGCTTCGGTTTTTGAAACATGGTAATTCCTGTGTAGCGAAAAAAAACATATTTTAAATCAGTTAATTTATGATATTTATGCTCTATAAATTTACATTGAGCACTATTTTGTAAAAATAAAAATATCAATAAGAACACTGGATTATATATCTTACTATTCTTTCCTTTGATTATAATATATATATATATATATATATATATATATATATATATATATATATATATGAGGGTGGGTGTCTGTGTGTTTAAGAAGCAAATTTTATTTAGGCATGGCTGATTAAATAAATTACAGACATAATGTCTGCTAATATTTAATAAAATCCCTTAATATCTTCCGTGTATTGATGTTAAAGGATAAGAGAAATGTGCTATTTTTCATTTCGCAAGTACTTTCGATCTTCTTCCAAGATCATCTTCAGCGGTGCAAGTAGTACTATATTTTGTTTATTAGTTATAATATCTGTAATTTATTCAATCAGACATGCCTAAAAGTGAATTTGTTGCCTAAATAGGCATACACAGACACACACAGACACACACACACATATATATATATATATATATATATCTATATATTTATAAATTTAAATAGACCACCATTAAAAAATAGGCCACTTTATATACGTGATAATATATATATATATATATATATATATATATATATATATATATATATATAGTCAAAAGAAAGAAATGTAAGATATATAATCCGGTGTTCTTATTGATATTTTTATTTTTACAAAGCAGTGCAAAATGTAAATTTACAGAGCATAAATATTATATTATTTATGTATGTATATATGTATTTTCACTTATATATACTTGACTGTCTAAATCTATGGATCGAGATGCGGAAATTAGACGAATTCAGAAAAAAAACGAAAAGACAAATCTTGTCATTTGAACGGGATAAATCTAATTTAAATGCATTTGTCGTATATATATAAAGACATTTTTATGTTTATACATTGTTTTTATAGATACAAATATTTAAGTAAATACTCTGTTTATAATAAACACTATTAAATAACATTTACCGGCCTGAATTTCCGAGAAATTTTCATAGAAAATTATCCTTCTCCGACAGGATTCGAACCTGTATCCTATACGGAACCGTCATATAGCCTGACGTGTTTATACCGTTTGTGCCACAGAGGATCGATCGATTATTATAAACAGAGCATTTACTTAAATATTTGTATCTATAAAAAGAATGTTAAGCATAAAAATGTCTTAAAATAATTTTCGGACTTTGTCCATTTCATAATATATATATATATTAATACAAGTATTTATACAAAGTTGTGTGGTGTTATCCGTTACTGTAATTTTTTTCATTATGTTTTTAAATTCATAACGGTTGACAATATGCTGAGCGTTCATTAAAACGTGAAAAAAATATCCATTATGGATTTTTTTTTCATGTTATAATGTCATGGTCACACGCGCATTAAAGCATGAAAAAAAACTGTTTCTTTACAGGCATTTCAGAACATTACTGCAGTATTCATAGTTGATTCTGTTCAGTGCCGGCTTTAATTTTTAATATGAATTGTTTCTAGTATCTGTAGTTTTGCATTTAAAAGTATAATCAATAAAATTGAAAAATGAAAATAAAAAGAAATTTAAACAGCTGTAGCACATTTCTCAAATCATTTAACATCAATACACGGAAGGTTATTCGTGAGTGTGAAAGGATTTTATTAAAAATTAGCCGTCATAATATCTGTAATTTATTTAATCAGACATATATGCATATGTATGCGTGTACGTGTGTGTGTCTTTGTGTGTGTGTGTGTCTGTGTGTTTGTGTGTTATATAGGAATAAATTGTCGCTGCCGACACTTGAGTTTGAACCTTGATCGCCAGTGAGCAAACACGGGCGATCCCATTATTGAATCAAGTGGATTACGTGATCACAGATGAAACGCATATATAGGAAGTTGCATGACATCTAGATTGATCTCATTTCTAGTCTATCGTCTATTACTATTCGGATCTTGATTTCTACTCTATCCTCTAATACTAGAAGGACCGCTATTTTCTACTCTATCAACTATGATATTTCTCTATTCGGATCCCCATTCGATGGTTACTTTTCGAGCGACTATTATCGGGCAAGTACTATTAGTACGAGTGTTATTAGAAGGCATCTGACACCAGTATTGTTCAACGTTACTATAGTTGTATCTGCGATTACAAAGTCTTTACTACTACGAGCATTACAAAAGTAGCAATGAGTGTTCGTTGACATCACAAAAATATATATACTTTATTTTAGGATATTTCATCTAAAAACCTGTCAAAGTTGCTACACACTTGCAGTCGTGTTTCGATGCGTATCAACGTATCTCATCAGGTGATAGTAAATTACTGGCGAGTGAACGATTTATTCAGATTTAAAAGCAAAATACAGCCCCTTTTTACGAAAGGGGGCGTGGTTATAATTTCTGTGGGCTTTACCCAGATCAACCAATGGAATATGACCTACGTTAAATTTAAACTAAGGGAAGAAGCAAAAATTAAGAAATTATTTTTCATAAATGGGTCCTGACCCGTATATTTGAAATCAGCGACAGCATAGGCGTTAAAGATGTAAGAGGATACATATGGTACATTAGACAATGTCATTTCCTAAGAAAAAATGAAATGATAATCTAGCAAAATGCTAGACAAGTTATATGCTTTGTGAGTTTCCTATATATATTTTTTTTTAATTTTTATAGTTGATAAACAGCTTCTTTAAGAAACAAGTAAATAATTTAAAAGTATAGACTTACTTGGTAAATTAATATGCAACTGTTGACTAAAGATTTTTTATATAAGGTGTTAATAACAATAACCATTCAATGTAAAATGTCAAACTACCAACGAAATACCAACACATCCGTACAAGTGTTACTAACTCTACAAGGACATTAATACAAAATAATATTAAATTTAAATTAATCTTTCCAGCAGAAAGATAAGACATATATGGTGCAACACAGTTCAACTAAAATCTAAGAAAAAGCATTGTCAAATTCCAAGTCTAACTGAATTCTAAGGTAAAAGGTAGACTGTGTTTACAATTTACCGTTAACTCGCATCTTTGGCTTAATAAAGCATTCTTCTAAAAAACCTGATAATTTTCAATTTTTCATGTAAACACAGAAAACATGGTTCATATAAGGATATACATGTCCTTGCCCTTTTTTAAATTTTCCATTTCACCTTAGGCGTTTTATTATCATCTTTCAAACTCCAAAAATATTTAGAAAGTGAAATTATTTCTATAAGTATTATTAATAAAGGACAATATATGTTTATATGCATTAAATAAAACTCTTCCTAGTGTTTATTAATATTTAGCATTATATTGCTAAAACGTTTCGCTTCCCCTCCCATGGCATAAAGGTCGACGATATTTTTAAACGAAAACAATGTTTGGTATCTATTTATCACACTTCATATCTATGTCAGTATATTTATGTCTTTCTATCTTCCACGTTCTATTCCTCTCTATTTCAGATTCTTCATTATCTATGTATGTATCTACCTATTGATGTATATTCATATGTATTCTTCTGTCAGCCTCTCGATATGTGTCCATATCTATCTATATCAGTCTCTTCATTATCAATCTATTGATCTACCTACGTACCTACATTGTCATCTATTTACCTATCGATGTGTTTCCATATCTATCTATCTCAGTCAATTCCTATCTATCTATCTATCTATCTATCTATCTATCTATCTATTTCAATAAATTCATATCTATCTATCTATCTATCTATTTCAATAAATCTACATCTGTCTATCTATCTATCTATCTATCTATATATATATATATATATATATATATATATATATATATATATATATATATATATATATATAGGTAAAATAAGAACAAATAGAGTATAATTCCACTGTACGTAACATTTAATTTCAAAGAGGGCACAATAGAGTAGAGCTAAATATTATTTATTTTAGTGTGTTAAAACAAACACATGTCAAAAATCGCTACACAATTACAATCATGTTTCATGTGTTAGTCATTTTAAATGTGTCTCCTCGGGCGTTGTTAAACAACTGGCGAAGGAAAGATTAATTTAATTTCAAAAGCCGATTACTTAAAAAAAACATATTTATGGTGTTGAAACATGATTGTAATCGTGTAGCGATTCTTAAAATGATTTTGTTTTTATATTCTAAAAGAGATTATATATATATATATATATATATATATATATATATATACGAGCGCTTTATTTTTTAGACATTAACAAGGACAATTTTTATTTTTTTTATTTTAAACTGGATGTTTTATTTTATGTATATCTCTAAAGTTATAGGTATGTTCTATTTTCCAAACACGGTCAGAATATTGTGGCCGTATTCATATTTAAGGTTATATATATGTAAGAACTAATGTATACATATTCATACATGCATACGGACAAAAACAGACGCACACAACACACACACACACACACACACACACACACACACATATATATATATATATATATATATATATATATATATATATATATATGTACAGTTTACAGGTTGAGGCAAAGAGAACAGACGTTTTGAAAACATTATTAATTTTTGCTTCAGAATAATCCGGCATCAATGTGTTCGTATTACGATTTGATATCATCTGGTGTTTTCACTGATAGACTTCTGAAGACGTCCTTGGAATTTGGCTTCCACTCTTCCCAGCATTCCTCTGTCGATCTGGGTGACTTGCACGTAAATAGATTCCTTGAAATTGTTCAATGTACGGGCTAATGTTCATGTACACGGCCTTTGAGGTTCCCCCCCAAAGAAATAATCGCACATTGACAAATCAGGGCATCGAGGAGGTCAAGGAGTGTCAGAAAACCCGGAAATGAGGCGTTCATCGAAGAGAGGGCGTTCCATTGATGGCCTGGCTGTGTGGGCTGCTGACCCACCCTACTGAAACAACACATGTCGGATAGGAATACGTTTTCGTCGTATTTCAGACACAAAGAAATTGTTTATCATCTCGATGTAACGATCGGGGTTCACAATGACAGCATTACCTTTATGTCCATCATAAAAATTAAGGACCAATCACGTTGGCTTTACCATAGGTGCACCAAATCGTCACGTTTGGGCTGTGCAATGGTCTCTCGTGAATTTCTCTCAGATTTTCAAGAGTCCAATAACGACAATTCTGTTCATTCACCATGTTACTGAGATAAGAACGAGCTTCATCAACCATTAAGAAAATGACTTTGTATTTTGCCTAAAAAATTACTTCGTGCGAAGTTAAGCCGCTGTGCATATTGCCTTGGTCTCTACTCTTACCCAATGACCAACTTGTAAGGATGGAAATTCTGGGTTAGGTACCGTTCGTGGGTTCCCCCATCGGTCTGCTATTCATTAGTGTACCCCGTGTACGAAGTGCATGACAGAACTGCTGTGACAGACTCGTTTGTCTTCACGAAACTGTCGTAGTTGAAGACGCGGTTCTTTATCGTCCACAGTGCCATGGCTTCAACTGAAAAGAAAAAGAAAATTCTAAGATACTACGGACTAAATGGTACCAGTTGGACATATGTCCCTCAACCCGAAGCCGAATAATAGCTATTTCAAAACGTCTCCTCTCTGCCTCACCTGGTATATATATATATATATATATATATATATATATATATATATATATATATATATATATATATATATATATAGTTAAGTTCATTTCATTTTTGGAAGTGCTATCTGAGGATCTAATGTCCTTTAAAAGGGCTCTGGTGAAATAAATTATTATAATGGTACCTTAAAGTGGTCTGTTTTTCTTTATATATATATATATATATATATATATATATATATATATAATTAATTAATTCTATTGTTTACAAATACAATTGTAGTTGCCATGTTGACCAAATAGGGAGTACTACTCAATGCCTAGACATGAGAATTAAAGAACATATTCCCACTAAGATCAGGAATCACACCTTGTCTTTGAATGGACGTGTCCCAAATACCTATGGTTCCACCATATGTGAGCACCTCTTAAATAACAGAGGGTGTGTTGCTAATTTTAGTGCTGATTGGTTCACTGTTCTGTCCCGGTCACACTCGTTATTTCATCTGAAGGTGCTGGAGGCACTTTATATCGGGTCCGGCAATCCTTCCCTGTGTAAACAGCGTGGAAGTTTGTTAGGGCATGTTGTTATTTGTCTCTAGCTCCTTGTGTTCATTTTTTTTGTACCCCCTTTTCCTTCACATTGCACATTTTCTCGTGTTTTAATTTAAGTTAAATCTCCCGTCGAGGCCTGAAGAGCGGGAGCGAAACCGGTTGCTTCGCTTTTAAAATGTCTAGTAATATTAAGCTTCACACGTTTATTTCTGTAATTAGATTTTGTACCTTCAAAAATATTTTCAAATATATGTATGTATGTATGTATGTATGTATGTATGTATTAGCTTAAAATTCCCCTGCGGAGAACACTTGGTAGGGCCTTCACACTTATACACACACCCACAGGAATATACACACTTACACACATCACACTCACTCACTCCCTAATGAGCCAAATGATAACACACACCCACAGCAATACACACGCTTACACATATCATACTCACTCACTCCCTAAGAACCAAATAACACACACACAAACACTTAACAGAGACACACCCGCTCTCCAGGACCAATAAAACTGTCAAACTGACCAGGGGAATTCAGAGAAGCATAGATCCATCCAGCTCTTATCTCAAATAACAACTTAAAAAGACTGTTTGACCAACACAAGGAATGTTAAAAGATTCATGTTAAAAAGATAAAAAAAAAATAAAAAAACAAATGAAAACTACAGACAAAAGTTCATTTTCTCCATCAAGACATTCATTTCTGTAGTTTACTGCTACCAGCAAGCAGAAAGATTTCTTTTCCTGATGATGGCCATTTTAGCCGAAACTAGTTGAGGAATCTATATGAAATAATAATAAAAAAACAACCGAAAGAATATTAATCTACAACCCAGTGTGTCTGAAGGTTTATATATATATGTATATATATATATATATATATATATATATATATATATATATATGTGTGTGTGTGTGTGTGTGTGTGTGTGTGTGTGTGTGAGTGTGTACGTTTGTAATACATTGCAACCATCATGCAGATGCAGTTTCTATTGTTGCTATGATTGCAGAAGCGTGCGGTTTCATTGCAGATTGCGTGTTATGTTTCCACACTCGTGTAAATGACATGGGATATTTCATCGCTGTCAGTCCGTTCAAATCCCACCAGCACCCGACACGGACATTCCAGCCATCAAACCTCAGTGGCGTGAAGACATACAACCATTTGATGAATGGTATCAAAATTAAGAGAACACAGATTGTCTTCAATCGGCGACGCGTGTCTCCGATCTCCCTTCTTCGATTTAATTAGACATGACGCCTGGGATTTCCTACTTCAATTAGGTGAATATCTTTTATTTATATGTAACATTAGCATCTTTCCCCTCTTTACCTCTCGCTTTCATTACATATGTATAGGCGTTTGAACATTTATTTATGTGTAGGCGAATCAACAATTTAGTAGCCAAATAAGGAGGGAACAAATACTCATTTTTCTTAAAGTAATCGCCTTCCTTGACAAGGCATTTAACCACACAGATTGTTTCAATATATACATATATATATATATATATATATATAGATAGATAGATAGATAGATAGATAGATAGATATGAATACATAACGAGAGGAAGATAGCTAAAATGATAGATAGACAGATAGATAGATAGATAGATATAGAAACACATTTATATATATATATATATATATATTAGTAGTAGGAGTAGTAGTAGTAGTAGTAGTATTAGTAGTAGTAGTAACCTTATAAGTATAAGAAATCATACTCGTCCGGAAAACCTCCAGTGTCTTGATCTGCCAATAATCAAACCAATACCAAAAGAAAAAAAATGGTATAAAAAAAAGAAAGAACCAAGAACATGGACGTTAGCCGAAAATAATCGTTTGGCATGCAAGTCCAAAGCCCAAAGAAAAAAACCCCGGTATGAGTAGGCAAAATAAATAAATAAAGTGCTCAATACAATAAGTACTGCAGACCTAGAGCAGACTATATATATATATATATATATATATATATATATATATATATATATATATATATATATATATATATATATATATATCGTAATAGTTCCAGCGAGACAAGCTTTCTAACCATTACACCACCCTGAGGTGCCCTTTAAAATGTGGCACAAGCCCGTAAGTATGGGGCACCTAGTGAGGAACTACTCAGTTGTAATTGTTCTAGCGAGACAAACTTACTAACCATTACACTGCCTCGAGGTGTATAATATATATATATATATATATATATATATATATATATATATATATATATATATATCACTCCTCTCTATACAAACATACTGTCTTATTATAAGGAATTAGGATACACACATATACATACATATAAGCATACAGACACACACTTCCCATGTTGTGTAGAGTTTGCGCGCGTGCTTGTGAGCAGTCAGTTGTTTTAGACAATATGTGTATATATATATTCGTGCTCCACATATACCCGCGTGTGACTGTGTGCGCATGGATGCGAGTGGTCTGGCCACTGTATTTGGTCATTATGTGTGCATGTTGTGTGCATTTCCGTGTGGAATTATATATATATATATATTTAGTTCTGGTTTAAATTTCTTTATGAATTTTTTTTCTTGTATTTCTAAGTAAGAATAATTATCTGATTGGTATATCGGCATAATTTTAAATTCACCCTCGGTTACATTTCTAGATGGTTGTATATATATATATATATATATATATATATATATATATATATATATATATATATATATATCATTCTATTCCTATCAGTGTATCACAGTTTATTCATTATCTATCTATCTATCTACCCAGTCTGTTCATTATTATCTATCTATCTATCTATCTATCTATCTATCTATCTATCTATCTATCTATCTAAGGTCAAGATATTGTGTCTATGTTGCAAAAGAAAGGCTAAAAATAATGGAAGCCTTATTAATAAAAACAAAAAAAACAACACTTAATAATTTTAACTTTGAACATGGACACAATATCTTGACCGTGTTTTGAAAAATGCAAACATTTTATAAGACATACATACAACAAACTATTTCTTATTTAACAGTTAAAATATTTCATCCTTGAAAATGGCTAAATGTATAGCCGAAAGCGCTCGGATAAAAAGAATATTCGGGCAGTTTTTATATCATTTATCATCCGAAAAGAAAAAAATTATTAGATCGCATGAGAAATTGTATTAAAAACTAAATAAAAGCACATATATGGCGTATTTCCCCATGTATAATGCGCATTTTCTTCTAAAAATTAATAAGCAAAGTTAGGATTGCGTATTATGTACAGCTACAAAATAATTTTTTTTTTAAATTGCCGTTTCATAGGTCGATTTCAGTTGTGAAATGACTACTCACTACAAACATACGACAATTTGACATAAACATTCGGCGATTGCAACCCCATAAGGATGTCAAATACAATCATATGTACCTAACAATAGTTACAAATGTAAAATAAAATAAGAATTATCATAAAACTAAATTAGAATAATATTATTCTATGTTTAAAACCATTTTTTTTGTAAAAAATCTATATACGGATCCGGTCGATTGTACATTTTCTCGAACAAAAACAGGTTAATGAGTCTGCGCAGTAGACACGATATAGATATTTCCGTTTCCTTTTAGAATCGTAATGATCGGAAATTTTGATAAATATCTTCAATTACAGTTTGAATAAGAGTAGGAAACGGTGGCCGTAATAAAATTGGACAGGTACATTTTATAGAATTTGATTAATAAACAAAGGCTGCGTGAGTAGAAATATTTTCCCAAACTTTCAGTACAAATTTAGGGGTGCGCATTATGGATGAAGGCGAAGAGAGGGAATTACTTCAGAAGAACAGCAGATTACAGTTAACTAGCCTCAGGTGTAAAGATGCAACCGACCCAACTGCCGAGCATGCAGCTACCTATTATTTCATTTCAAAAACAGACTCAGACTCATGATTAAAAATAAAAATATCTTTTTACGCCAGTCAGAGAACATAATATATACTATAACAATGCAAAGGTTGCAACGAATATTACACTGGTGAAACCAGCCGGACACTCTGACAAACAGATCATCGCCAACAAGTTAGGTTCTCGCACATTAGCAAAATCCTTCTAAAACCAACTTATAGAAGAATGCAGTGGGTAGAATCTGCCTAACTTAAATATTTTCCTATTTTAACCATGCAACTACAAAACCCCTGAACCAATAAACCATCAGGAAATTTAAATCAAGACTCAACTCACTACACAAACGAAATTACGCCCCTTCCAAACAGATTGATTTTCCTCACCCTCCTTTGTTTTTTATCCCAAATTGAAGCGACAGCATGTGGTGATCATATAAATATTTAAAACCACCAAACAAAATTATTAAAGTCTATTCAGTGAAACTAGTAATGCAAAAAAATTATAATCATTTTTAAAACCCTAAATGTGAATAAGTATTGCATATAAATATATAAGTCCTCAGGTGCATTTTCAAATCTTATCACATTCGCTATATTACGAGATTTGTACAGAATTTGTTTAATTTTATCTGATATAAACATACATAGTCATATATATATATATATATATATATATATATATATATATAACAACGTAGATAGAATTAATATATAACCCCATAAATCAAACTCTACCCACATTTCTCACCCCCTCAAGACAGACATTCTTGCAGAGGTGTTGATGTCACACTTATACACACACTCACAAAAATATATACGCATACAGACATCACACATACTCCCAAAGAACTAAAAAGAACATACTCTTAACATTCCCAGGAACCAATAAAACTGTCAAAATGAGCAAGGAGGGATTTCTTAAAGTCAGGAATCTCCCATCCTCTACCTTAAAAACATTTTGAAAGTTGCCATTTAACCAACACAGGGACTGACCAAAATTAACGATAAAAAAAAGAAAACAAATGAAAATTACAGAGAAAGTTCACTTTCTTCAGAAACAATCATTCAATTCTGTAGTTCACTGCTATTAAGAAGCAGGGATTTTTTTTCTCCTGATGATGGCCATGTTGGCCGAAACTAGTTGAGGAACCCAATTGAAATGATGAAACAAAAAATATTAATATAAAACCCAGTACGTCTAAAAAGTATAATTTTTCAATATTTTTTATTGTTCAAAACACACACACACACACACACACACACACACACACACACACACACACACACACACACATATATATATATATATATATATATATATATATATATATATATATAATAAATAAACCAAAGTGCAAAAAATGTCTACTTGTGACGCGTTTCGTTCTTCAGGTGTTCATCAGAATAAATCTGTCTATGCTTCTTTACACTATTTATATTATTCGGACTATTGTTCTTACATTTTTTGACATATGTACGACGTTTCGGTCATTGTACGCCTCTGGATTTCTTCCGGATTTGAGATGAGTTACTTTAATTATTTAAATTATTTAATTATTATTTACACGAGTTACATTGTTCGGACTGTTGTCTTAGTAAACGCATCACAGGTAAACTTTTTCCACTTTGTCATACAATTTCCCAATAGTGTTTTCGATATATAAAAATACATATCGTCATCTCATACACACACACACACACACACATATATATATATATATATATATATATATATGGGTGACTCTCGCATAATCGATGTATGAGGGTCAAGCTCTATGAGAATCTGGCTGGCGGTTCCTAGGAGTGGTGAAGTCTTTGTGCAGAACTAACCACGCTTCTCTGAACGACCTTCTCCTAGACCAGTTACCATCCAAGGTTATAGAACTAAGTCTGTCCTGCCATGGAGGGAAAAGAAGAGGATGAATAACTTTCCTTATTGTATTATGCAATGTAATGAATTCGACTGGAATTCGAACAATTCCTCAATCCGAGCCACTATCCACTACTCCATTGTGCCTCATATATATATATATATATATATATATATAATTATTTATTTAAAAATATGGTTCCAACGCTACATAAGAGTTCTCATGTTTCAAAACAATAAATTAGACGATGTCATCCTCCGCTTGAAATTTAAACACCTCAATCTTACCCTGACTTGACGTCTCTGAATGTAACTGAGATATTGATACAAATTTTTAACCCTTACGCCCCTTTTTCTTTAAACAATTGCTCTAACCGTTACCACAGTAATCTTAAATTCAATAATGAATATGCTTATAAAACGCTTAAATTTCAGGAATAAATTATTCCCCCCCCACCAAAAAAAAATCGCTTGAAGATGGAACAGAGCTTGGTACTTTAATTCAACTTAATTCAAATAATTATATTGAAGTTTTCGGCTCTTGTTTTGAAACATGAGAACTCTTACGTAGCGTTGGAATCATATTTTTAAATGAATGATTATATTTATGCTCTACTTTTGTATCGAGCACTATTTTTTAAAAATAATAACAAAAATACTAAAGAACTTTGGATTATTTACGTAAGTAGTTCTTCCTATTTGCTATATATTTTACACATACATTTATATATATATATATATATATATATATATATATATATATATATATATATATATATATATATATATATGACGTCATGAACTGCAATGCGATATTTTGCTTCCTGCGTTTCATATGCAGTCTTCCATGCAAACAAAACCAACTATCATTGTTGCAATGTCTTTCATAACCATTCTAAAAAAAACTTACCATCTTGTTATATAATTTATTTAATTTATTGTAATGTACTTGGAATCTCTGATGATGGCTTACGTAAGCCGAAAGCTTACACAGGATTAACAATATAAACATGTATCAACATAGTCATTTTCTTTCGTGTTTTAATGATAATGCTAAAAAGGTTACTCGACAATATAAAAGGAATTTACTTAAAATAGACAAAAATTTTCTATATTATTTAACGAAACATGCATTAATATATATATATATATATATATATATATATATATATATAAAGTAAGAATTTCCTCACTCTTTAAATGACAATAAATGCAGTGCTTATTGACTTGCAAACAAGATTAATGATTAAAATTGAGAAATATTAATGTTTATTGACTTACAAAGATAATATATATGTGTGTAATTAGGCAGGAATTGTTCCTTCAAACATATAAAAATGTATACATATTTTGTGCCTACAACGACTTTTTCCATCTTCCTCTTCAAATTGCAAATTCACAAAAATGGCAGTTGTTGATATAAACTCCATACATCGTAATTCACAATGTTACAGAAAATCTTCTTTGAGGGCAGATCGGCTTATCGAAAAGTTAATTCATTTCGTTTTCCCAGGATTTATTTTGCTCCACATTGTTGTAAACAATTTATTTTTCATGCCTACGGTATTAAAAAAAACCCGAGCCGTTTTTATTTGTTCGAGTAGAGAATCGAAGTCAGTGTTTTCATAAAATCTGGAAGCATCCAAATATAGACCCACGTATCCAAGTGTTTTCAAATTCCTTACAAAGCTCATAGGCCGTATGTGAAGTACTTTTGCGATACCCCGTAATGTGTGGCCCTTATTATTTTTAATCGGCAATTCGATATGATCATCATCAAAGACTGCGGGTCGGCTGAAACATTCAGTCTTTCAGATCAAAATTTCCACTTGTGACTCTAAGGAAAAACTTACTTACACTACTTTCAGTTATTGCACCATGTACATAAACGGCACATAGTCATTTTGCAGTTTGTATATTCCCGGAAATAAAATAGCATCAAATGACGAAATTGTATCTAATTTTCCTATATCTTTACTTTTGGTGTACAACCATTTAAACTTCGTAGTCAACATATACCGTATAAAAGCACACGTTGAAATCTCACCTTTCAGAATATATATACAGAGTTCGCCAAAAATCTATAGACGTT